CCTAATCTAGTCCTAGGATCAGTCCTTATAGGATCAGTTTTGGGCTGGGCTTTTTGGGTTCGGACCTATTTCCCACCTCTAGTTAAACTACGATTAAATTCTACATATTTTTGTGTTTAAACGAGCATAGGCAAACCCAAAATTTGTTGAATTCATTACTTATTTAACTTTTTATCATCCAGCAACCCATTCGGGTTATCTAGGCTGCCGACACATTCCTTGGACCTCAATTTGTGTCCACAATCTACACCCACATATAAAAAAATGCACTATTTCGAATATTCCCTTCTTTTTGTATTGTTGTATGACAATTGCTGTTTGGTGGTAAACGCTAGTGCGGTGTGGGTCAATACTCACCAATTTTTCTTCTTCTTTCCTATTTCCATTCTTGAGAAAAACAGACAACGATCATAACAAGTTTTTACATTCAAGATTAGTTGTAGATATACATTTCCAATGTTTTGTTTTTCCCTGCAACCAATGACTTGGGTCAAGAGTTGCCTCTGTCAATTCTATATAGTGTGGTAACTGCTACAAAGAAGGGAGGAGCCAGAGATTGAAGAGACTAGAACCAAATGATAGAAACCAAGAGAAGAAAGCGGTGGCCGCAGACAGTTGATATCTTCTGCACAAATTAAGGGGCCAATACTGCTCACCAGCTTCAACCAAGAGATTTGTGACACTGGCTGTTGAACACGCTGCTGCTAACGATAGAAATGACAAAACCTGTAATTGAATGGAACGCATTTCTTTTATCAAGTAATGGAAAAGAACATCAAGAAAATATGAAACAAAACACGAAAACTAACATACCCAATCCCCTATGATGATTATCAACATAATTCTTTGTCGACGAGGTAAAGATTTTAGGAAGATAGAATAGGCATCTACTAGTGCCAGTGCCATACTCCATGGAATCACTAAACCCATGATTGTGACCAAGAAACTGCAAAATTTCATAATCAATAACACAAAATTACAATTGAAAAAATTAAAACTTCAGGAGGGGGTATTTCAATTCCAAATAAAACATCAAAAGAAGCTTTCTGGGCAATTATGTTTATCGCTGAATTATCACATGCTGCTCCGTACTCAATTCTGTAATGGAAAACTGGTTACAGTGTCCGATACAGCGGACGAAAACCCCCGCAAGAATAGCTGAAACTCATGTGCATAACATCCTAGAATTCCGAATACTTTGGACTTGATTCTTTTCTAGTTTCTCTTTTTCTATTTTCCCAGAAATGGAGCAGTTGACCTCAGATTTCATTCATGATTAGTTAATTGTGTAAATAATTGACTTATTTTAATTCATAACGATGATGAAGAGTTAATCATGAATCTGAAATGAAGTAATAAAGAAATAGAATGGGAAGAAAATTACCAGTAAGAAGTGAAGCTGTAGAACTCAACACGAAAACTCATAAAAAGAAGCGATGCAGAGGAGAAAATGATCTGACCCAATCGCAAAGCCAGACTGGCGCTGGTGCCCATTGCTCCTGGCACTTCTTCCTCCATGGTAAGCCCGTGTCAGATGTTCATATCAAAACTTAAATTGAGGTAACCACCATCAGCCTAAAATTTAAGTTGGTTAGAGCAACGTGGAGCAAGACCAAGAAGGATTATACAAACAAGTACTTTTTATGATTGATAAGAGGTTAAAGAAAGAAGGGAAAAAAAAGAAAAGAAAATGTATATAGACAGTAGACGTGTTGATCAATGGTGACAGTTTCTCAATTTTTTTTGGACTTTGTCTTGGCCGCCACCTCATTATTAATTTCTTACCCAGTTCTCACGAGACATCCTATACAACTGTTTTAATTACAAATTTCAAAACAAAATACATTTGAATAATGTCTTTCTTGATTTACAACTAATACATTTGACTTCATAAGAGTGTAAAACAAGAAAAAAAGACTTGCTTAAATAAAAGGTTTTTTTTTTTAATTCTTTCATGTGACCAAAATTTGATATATTTCAGCAATAAATCGTATTAATTTAATTATCTTTGAATGATTGAGTAGTTTGATAAGGACTCTTGAATATATTACTCTAAAGGTTTTGAATTTGAATCCTCTTTCAATTGCTAATAAAGGTAACCATTGGAACTCTTATCCGACCGATAATTCCAGGGTTTTAGATTTTGTGTATTTAATTTGGTTTATTGACATCATAACTTTCAAAATCTAATGCCTTAATCTTAATTAACATCTATCTGCCATTTGGAGTGAAAATGGGCCAAATTTGAGCCACATCAAATAGACAAATACATGAATTCGGAGGAACAGATCTTCTAAAATTTGAATAAAATAAAATTTAAGGTAATGAGGTATGTTATATTAAAGTTGTAATCACTTCCAATGGTCTACATTAATTAATGGGAACAACGACCACTGAAGAATTGGAATTAATAGTCGACATCATCATTTCAATTTGCAGGAGCTTATCTTTAAATATTAACAACTTGGAATTAATTAAGAAGCTCTGGACCAATAATGAGCTATAAAATAAAAGCTGATTGTGCCTTGCAATACCAATAATTGATTAAGGCAATGACGTGTGTATGTTTGTGCGAGAGAATGAATGAAAAAGATCTCCTGTTCCAAAAACACACTTGGGCATTACCTAAATAAATAAACAGTGATGCTAGGCTTACCGACTCAGCCACAGATTTTACATACCGACTTGAGTTAAATTTTCAGATTTGGGTTATTGGGTAGTGAGTCGGTATATAAAAATCAGTATTTGAGTCGGTAAATATAGTATTATTCATAAATAAACGAGTCAAGACTGGCCAATTTGGGTACCAGAATCCACTAATAGATGTCTTTTACAAATGACTGTTTACAACAAAATTCAAGATATGATCAGGGACAACTTGCCAATCATTAGGCCTTTTCATTTCATGACATCCAGAGCTAAATCTATTTTTTTGCAACGATTTTTCCATAACACAATTGCAAACATTTGTATGTTCAATACACCAGGGTATGAGTGAAGCCAGAGATAGTAACTAAGAACAATTGTCGAAGATGATTCTGCATTGTTTTAAAACTTGGCCCGCCTCGGCCTTGTTGGTTCAATCGGGACTCGGGCCTTCACTGGGTCGGGTTAGCAATTTTCCTACTCACCGAAAATCCTAAAAATTGGGACAGTGATAGACGAATAATTGAAGGTTTGGATGTTGGGGCTTTTGAAGAAGAAGAGTCGGTGAGTCCAATGGTGGCAACGGAAGTGATTTTCGGTGAGTGAATTGACCGGAAATTGCAAAACAAAATCGGCGGCAATAGCCCACTGTTGTTGCCGATTGGCGAGGCAATCGGAGGAGGGGTGATATGGGTTTTGATAAGGAGGTTGAGGAGAGTGTTTTCATTGTCAGAAACAGGCTCTATTTGCCTTGGTCTGTCTACGCCGACAATGATGTTTGGGGTGTCTTTGCAAGATTTCAAAGATATAGGAGCTTATAATAATTTTTAGGAGTATTTTTATTATATTTCAAATGTTTGGACACCGGTTTAGCCAATCGATCAACCCAAGACCTGGCCACTTTGCCGGGTTTCACCCCGTTATTAAAACACTGTAATTGTGACGCTTTACGGGATGAATAGGGGCTTAATCAATGAGTGGACATTAACTTTGAGAAAAGTTGAATCTTTCTGTGGTGAGGAAGCCGTGATATACCAACACTGGTTTCCTGGTTCACGCCCGCAAATAATATATTGACTAATTTTGATAGGTTATAGAAATCAGGAAAGTTAAACTTGTGTTGGGTTCAGGGCTCAGATCAGAACACCCAGATCCATTATTATCTAAGAATGAAAGCTTGAGCTGAAATTTTACAACATTATTATAAAAAAGTCATGATAATATACAAACAAGATGATATTCGCAGTGCTTCTCGATTGGGTCACAGAAAAGTTTAGCAACAACTTCAACATATTTCAAAATCTGAACAAGGAAAGGGTACATTCATACAAGAGAAGCTCTATGACTCAAGCTGAGCATACCAGATTCCTTGGATCTTCACATCCTTTGGAACCTTTGCCCCCAAATCAGTATCAGATGGCTGAATGCTCTCAAAAACTCCAATAACCTCTCCAGTCTCAGGCTTGCTGTTGGTTACACTTAGGGTGATTTTCCCGCTTGAAGATGCAGTGTTCTTGATGTTCTCCTTCTGGAGCTCTTCCTCATCTCCTCTGCCTCCAGCAGGCAATGCAATAGCATTGTCATAACCGGTTGAACCACCCCTGCCCTTAGGGTCCAAGAAAGATGATCCACGGTAGGATGGCACAAGAAATTCTCCTCCAAACTTTTCAGGTTTGCCTGATGCCACCAGCTGTTTGATGGTGAAAAGAAAGGGTACACGCTCGCCACCAGGTAGCTGAACTGTCACGGCAGCATAGTCAATACCATCCTTCTCGACAAATTTAACTGTGCCATCAGGAGATACTTCAAAAGGTCCTTCGATCTCGTCAAGAGTGTAGGTAAGACGGGTCATGAGCTTGGTGTTTTGGAATTCTGGTGGGGAATTCTTGTTCACACCTTCAGCCTTAACAGTGAATGAAGTGGGCTCAAAACAGAACTTCTTGGCTTGGTATTTGCCTGGCTTGAAGGCAAATGAGTCGACACCACCTTCAATTGTTGGGCATTGGTTAGCAGTTCCTGTTCCCTTTACTTCCATGTATGTTTTGCTCTGGATTTCATCAAAGGTCAGCCTCTTTGGAACACCTTCCGCACTTGCTCCCTGAGGAAATAAGTAAATATTGTTCCAAAAGGTCTGATGTTAATCACCATACAGCAATCACTGGACAGTGTATTAAAACCTATCTCAATCTGCATGGTTTACCAAAATGATTTCCATTAAAACAAATTAACATTATAATGTGTTCTGTTGCAGGCTAAAGTCCATGAAACAACGTTTATTGGCTCTCAGCAGTACTACCTTTATCACTAAATTTACAGGAAACAATGACGGGGTGCATTGCAGCATCGACACCTTTGGATTTAGATTATTGAATGTTTTGGTAACAGTATGTAAAGTAAACTAATCCTCTATANAGAGTTGCATATTTTTATTACTAAAACTAATAAAATTTATCATTTAATAATAATGTATGCAGATTCTGCAGAAGAAAAGATTACAAAACCAATTTGAGGTCCGCCGTTTTCTGAAAAAAAGAGCATTACAAAACACGTTATATATCACAATATATACTTTATTAACTCCCAGATTCAATGAAACCTATCAAGTTTGATCTCTGTCCTCTGTTATTGCGATCAAGGTACCTCCCTGGGCCCTCAAAAATGATTTCGCCACATTTATGTTTAAACTTTAAAGCAAAACAATTAAATGGCGCCATTGCTAAAGCCAACCAAATACAAAGGTGTTTAAGTATTCATGAATCTATGAGTTTTAAATGTGGATCAACATAAAGTTGGTGCTTTAATTACACTTTCCTACTTTAGTCTTTAATCTAATTATGTCTTAATCATTTGATTAAATATACTAATTAATCAAGATTCTAATGCAAAGGTGTTCAAGTATTCATGAATCTAAGAGTTTTCTTCTTCAGTAACTTCTTTCCTTCTCTTCTTCACTTAAAGAAACTACCTGTATTCCAAAAAAAAAAAAAAAATTAGTTAGTTTCTTTGGACCCTTTATTGCATTCCCCACAAAAGGGTGATCCCACACACTGCTGCAGAAGTAGGTACTACAATTGTCTCGACCACATTGACATTTCCCATAAAATTCAGCTCGTATCAGAGGCAGTAACCATGGCGCATCCATAATTTGAAGAAAATGTTGTTTTATGTTGCTTTTCAATTTCTTGTTATAGAGTTGGCTCTCTATTGATATTTGTTACCCTGACTTTTCTCAAAACTATTACCTGGAATTCCTGTCCTTATAGACCAAGAAGTCCTAGTTACATTAAGTTTTTGCTTATTTCAGACCTTGTCTAACATACCAATACTGTAATATCAAAGGGAAGAGACATATGATATGAGCAATCTCATGAGAAAAGGTATTTTTGGTTTCCTAGTGAAATTCTGAAATATTTCCTTTCTAGAAACAGAAATTAGTTTAACAAAGGGTGAAATAACACTTCGAGCTTACAAAATAATCTACATTTGACCTAGGTCTATATTTCCTCCGCACCCAAAGATGCAGCAAAATAGTTGCATGAATAGCCAATAGACTTCAAATGATCCATCAATTGATCAAGCATGGAATATATACTACCTGACTTTTCATGTCTCTTGTCATCAACCATAAACTCATAAACACATCCCTTAATTTCAATGAAACTAATTGCTTTACACTTCATGATCCCACAGTCGTTCATTAGTTTCCTAATATTCTTCACATCTTCCCATCTTTGTGATTCACAGAATAAGTTTGCTATAAGTACATAAAGTCCTGAACTATTTGGTTCTAATTCCAGAAGCTGCTTTAGAACTAGCTTCCCAATCTCTATATTGCCATGGGTCCTACAAGCACCAAGCAAAGCACCCCAAACGACAACATCAGGCTTTACAGGCATTCGTCCTATTAGCCTAACTGCTTCTTCTAAGAGACCACCTCGCCCTAGTAGATCAACCATACAAGCGTAATGCTCAATTTCAGGTGACACGCCATAAACAGATTTCATTCTGTCAAAGTAATATTTGCCAATGTCTACAAGCCCACTGTGACTACAAGCAGAAAGTAATCCCATGAAGGTGATCTCATCAGGTCGCCAGATCCTACCACCTAGCATCTCTTCAAAGAGATTAACCCCTTTTAATCCATAACCATGCAATGCTAGAGCTCCAATAATTACATTCCAAGAAACTATATTCTTTTCAGGCATCTCATTAAAGATGTCAAAAGCTCTTCCTACAAAACCACATTTTGCATACATGTCAATAAGGGCATTACATAGAGTAACACTAGGTCTCATATCATTGTTGCAAATGTAATTGTGAACTTTCTTTCCCATGACCAAATCACCAATCTGACTACAGGCTGAAAGAACACAAACTAGGGTAGTTTCATCAGGCACTACTCCCAAATCGGACATCTCATGGAAGAGATTAAGAGCATCCTTGCAATGACCTTCTCGAACATAACATGAAATCATTGAATTCCACGAAACCACATTCTTCTCAGGCATCCGGTCAAAAATTTCCCTGGCAGAGTCAACGAGCTGATGTTTAGCGTATGCAGAAACCATGGAAGTCCAAGAAACCACATTTTTATAGGACATCCGCTCAAAAACTGTTTGAGCTGAATGCAAATCCCCACACTTAGCATACATATCTAAAAGCGCATTTCTTACAATTATATCAATCTCAACCTCAGTAACCACCATATAAAGATGTACATACCTCCCCAAATCTAGATCACAACTTTGTGAGCAAATAGAAAGCAAACTAACTAAGGTAATCTCATCAAGTTCCAAACCCAAATCTCTCATCTCCTTGAACAACAAAAAGCCTTCTCTGCAGCAACCCATTTTAGAATATCCACCAATCATCGAATTCCACGAGACCAAAGTCCTCTCGGAAATTTCATCAAACACTTTCCTGGCGCATAAAATTAATCCACAAACAACATAAACATTAATAAGTGCATTTTGCACATAAACTTGAGATCCAATTCCTAGTTTAACACCATGACCGTGAACAACCGCAGCAACACAATACGCTGATTCACTAGCACACGCTTTTAGAACAAATGGAAGAGTAAACTCATTGGGAGAAAGACACCTATTTATCATTTCACGGTACAATAAAATGGCTTTTATTGGGTTGTCACTAGTTGAGTAGCCCCTTATCAAGCTATTGTACATAAATTTATTGGGTTCAGTTATTTGGTCGAATACGAGCTGGGCGTATTCAAGATTTCCGTTGTTGCTTATAGCACAAAAGGAGATTAGCTTCCCAACTGTGAGGTTTTCATTGGTGAGGCCTTGACTGATGATTTGGGCATGAATTTGTTTGATTTGGTTCATTGATGTACATTTCTCCGAGTGAAAATGAAGGGTTTCGTGAGATGGAGATTTGAATTTGTGTAGAGAATGAAAACAGCAGAGGACGTGTTTAAAGCGGGAACCAACAGTCAAACTTCTGAGAGGTAAAACCATGTAACCGAATTTTGAATCTTAAGCTACGCTGGCCAGGCCTTTTTTTATGCCTCGGATCAAATGTGGGCACGCTGTAGAATGAACTGCACCGAAAGGTTTTGATGCTCTCGCACATTGATTATATACTAATATAGGTTCGGTTCGGATATTATATATAACTAGAGTAAAAGATTTTTTTCCACCCAAATTGTGGTTCAATAATACTTTTTCATCTTAAAATACCACTTTTCCAACCAAAAAAATACATTTAAAGACACTTCCCGCCAACCCCACTGATTGTCGATGGATTCCAACATCATTGAGACTCTATACTACTACTATTCTCTTTTCCAATCATTATTTACCAAAAACCACTCAAACCTTACTCCCACCGATCCTGTCAATCACTGGTAATCGAGTGATTAAGGTTTTCATAGCCATCTTTCCTAAGTCAAATTTGACTAATCACGACCACCAAAATCTAACCTTCCACCACTAAAAGACTCATTGGCCTCCCCTCTTCAAAAACCCAAAAAAAAGGACCAAGTTTGCTCTCCATTTACTATTGAATCGGAAAGTGTATTTTTTTTAGTTGGAAAAGTGATATTTTAAAAATCTATGAGTGGGAAAGTGTCGTTTCATTATTTGGGTAGGAAAAAACCATTTACTCATATAACTATGAGAGAACGACTTACACATACCCAAGATTCATCGTAACGACAAGTTGGTATCCAAAAGGTTTTGAAATGACAAATAGGTACTTTCCGTCATGTTCTGTTAGTGATTTCTGTTTATTACTGTTTATTAATAGTGAAAAGACTAAAATGCCCTTAAAAGTTTGAATTTTAGTTTTTTATAAATTTAAAATTTTTGAAA